GCAGACTAAGATGCACTCTTACTGTACAACAGGGGCCTTTTGGTGAAGTATTTCTGATCCGTTTCTGTGACACACTTGAAATAGTCCATCACAGAACAGTGTTTCAGTCCAGTACAAAAGAAAGACTATTTCCAGCTTGAAAAGCCAATGTTGTATTACACTTTTAGAGCAGCAAATCAGGAGTTGCCCTTGATTGTTTATGAGGATCTGTGATACAGCAGCAAATTTCCTGACATGTTCATAAGAGATGTAGCCATATAGTTTTCTTCATACATTGTGTATGAAAGAGAAATTGAGAGTATAGGAATAACAGTTATTGCAAAGAGTACAAAGAAAAACAATGATCAGAATGACAGAGAACTAACACGGGGGAAAACTCGGCTTTGTAGCTTGCAGTTGGACTGGGAGAAAGGGAAAAGGAAAGAACGATCACTGAATTTAATAAACAGTGCGACTTTTAGATTAGGGCCACAAATTAACGTGTTATAATATATGCAAAACATCATGACACAAATATTCTTTTTAGCTTTTATTCACTTTCTTTCCAGTGTATTTTGTTTTGTAACTATTGTTCTAAAATGTATGAACTGGTGCTTAATTGCTGAAAGCAGTAAGAAGCTCTTAATGGTAACACCATAGAAAAAATAAGTATAAAGAAGAGCTTCTTTAGCTGAGGGGCCGAGCACACAATAAATGAGAGTGTGAATTTATTCTTCACTAACTCTCCTTGTATATAGTAACCTCCTTCTTCTCTAAATTGTGGACTCTCATTTTAGATACCTGTGCATTAATACCTTATGTAGATCAGCCCTAGAAACTGGCTTGATTAATCTCTCCCACTGAAAATGTTTACGTACTTATTCTCTTCTAATGACAGAGGCGGCTGTATGCTGTATAGAACTCAATACCACTGTCATCTTCAGAACAGTGCCAAGAGCTTTATTTGAAGCTGTGTTTTTTTCCCACGGGTACAGTCTTTCTCAGCAATGTAAGAAATCAGTTTTTCCCCTTTGTCTCACGTAGCAACTTGCTGTTTTTTTTGCCGTGGAGGAAACAGAACGTGATGGAGGGACTACAGGGCAGGGCAACTTCTGCCCTGTTCTCTTTTCTAAATCCCTCAAGATTTTGGGGGAATAAACAAGGGCATTCTGAATGGGAAAATCTGGGCTCAGGAAGCAAAAGTACTAAAGCATCCGTGTTGGGAGCTGATGCATTGTAAACTCCAGTTACTGGTGATGGTGTATCAACTTTATACAGTCTGGTAGTGAAGGTTTCCACAAGTCTCATCTACTTCCTATGACAAAGATAGCTATTTCCATGACAAGGTCATGCCACACTACAAATATTTCATCACCAGCACTATTTTAACTAATGATATGCATTTTTTTCTACTGAAATAATTTCAATTTACACTGCCATAAAGGATTCATAAGAGATTCCAACTAGTTGTGCAAATTCTTTTAAACTTATTCAAAATCTTTAGTTTAAGCTGTCTATTGTGCTGGCTACACAATGGTTCCAGTTAGACCTAAAGGCTAATTTACAGCTATTTTAAAACCTATTATAATTTACTGAGTCTTCCCATTGCTGATGCAGTCTCTGAGAGTTCCTGCTCTGTTTGGTTACTTCTTATTAGTTTTCTGAGCATTAAGAAATGTAATAAACTTTGTCATATATCTTGTCCCCATGAGTAATCTGTAAGATCATCGCTAGTACATTGGCATTTCTGCTCATGCTCTGCAATTAACCTGTATAAGTATGCCATGTGAATAAGAACTATGCCCAGAAAGACTTATTTTGAAAGCATGAAAAAATTCAGAAAAGCACTCCTACTCAAATTTCTCAAAACCGTTGGGAACTGAATTTCTACTAGGCTAAAAGCATGAACAACTTCCCGTCCCTTTCCTCACTTTCCTGAATATTCTTAGAGCAAGTATTTCCCCAGAGCAACTACAGTTGCTTCAACACAGGACCTAATCAAACAGTACAGTCTTAATCATGGGCGTTAGGAAAACACATTGTGGGAAGAGAAGTATGAATGGGAATATTTTTTGATCTTGAAAAGTATATTCTCGTCCATGGTACCATCATGTAATGCAGGGATGGGCAGTGGAACAGTCCAGGGGAATCTATGCCTTCTTCCAGCGGCACACGGTGGCGTCTCCTTGTCTCCTGGGAGTAGGAGGCACGTGGCCAGCTCAGCTCCCATGGCACATGGCAGCATGGTGGGCTCCGACTCCCGCCTGCCGTGGCTCTGTCCGCAGCGCTCCTGGGAGCCAGCCGCTGTGCCTGGAGGGAGTGCGCTCTACAGCTACGCATCCATGTCTGCCTGATTTTGGGAGTCAGGAGAGGGTTTCTGAGACCCTGTATCACTAGTCATCTGCATTCTGTGACCAAATGGGTATATGGTTAGAGAAAAACAAAAAACCATGGAGGTTGTTCTAAATGAGGAAATATTGCCCTTAAGTGTTCTGGTACTGAAGGTATTGCACGGTTAAAGATGAACTCTTGCATAACTGCAAATTTTTGAAGTTCACCAGCTCCATGGATGTTATTAAATTACTTTTTGAACAGCAATATTAAGAACTTTATATTAATGTCTGCTTTCTTAAAAAAAATCATCATTCTATCATGCTAGAATTTAGTATTCTAGTGGAAAAATAACTTTTTTTCTCTATTGGGGCTTTATAAATTGTTTCAGTGTTCTGAGATTTATACAGATCTTACTGTAAATAATTTAATCTTTCCCCAGTTGTATTAATTGCAATTTAAATATTTTTAACATCAGAATGAGCTACAGCAGAAATCTTCTTTTCTCACTTAAGTAGATTTAGAAATTTCCATATTTTTCCAACTAAATCTGATAATAATGTTTTACATGTTTATGTTAGGTTTATGTACAAATTCAAAGGCAGAATATGAAAATATAGTTAGAAAGCTAGGTGCAACAACTTAAAATACGCTCTAGTAGCATGGATGAAGAGAATCCATTTTGAAGTACTTTCTCTAGAAATTAGAAAATTAGCCTAACAAAAGTTAGATATTCCTGAGATGAAATCAGAAAAAATATAATACAAATGTTAGCTACAAAGATTAGTAAAACACTTCTAACTGCATGCCATGAAACAAGTAGAGGGTGTGTCTGGAAATTAGTTTAGGTTTAATAATACAAATAAACCACAACCTTTAATTAAACAAAAATTAATCTCTTTGTTTACTAAGTTTACTTGAAGTCGTTATAAGTAAAATATTTGTAAAAGCTACTGTAAATTAATATTTTTAATAACGTATTTACTTTTTGCCCTTCATTTAGTGGAATTAGCTCCTTTATATCTTCAACTCACTTTAGTTTCCCGGCTTTTGCAGTAGCACAAGGTTTGAAGCGTCTTTGATGTTAAATCCATCCATATCCTAATGTGCACGTTCTCACTGTCTTGTTCATAGGTCCTGTTGATTTTTTGGTAGCCTGAAAATGATGCTTGCAATTAGGATTTCCACAGGTCATTTATTTAGCAGCTTCCACTTGCAGATTTTTTTGGAAGGGAAGGGAAGTAATTTTTGTTTACCCACTACAGATATAGTGAGCTATATATGGTCTTAAGATTAAAAAAAATTTGTTTAGTTTGTTTTGCCTTTCAGATTAGTAGTAGATGACTGAAAAAAAGCATGCATCCCAAAATTTTGTTGAGTGTATGCTGTGCTCCGGGAAGGACAGAAGTGTAATATTATCTTTCATTAGATTTCTAATACTCGGGCTTAGCTAAATTGCATAAATCGTAAGAATTTCTTTCTTTCAATATTTCCTATATTTCTTGTTCAACTGACAGCTGCAAGTAATAAGGGAAAGGGCTAATGATGGAAAACATTTGAAAACATATTTTGAAAGAACTTGGGTTTGGTACCTGACTATAAGTTGAGGATTGCTCTTATTAAGTATTCAAATTTTGTATGGAAATATGCCTACCGTTTGTAATTAGTCATCCTTTCAAAATTATATTTGTCTCAGATCTGTGTAATTGTATGGTTAATAAATTAATGCACAGCTTTTCTTCACGTGTCAAAAATTTTCAAGTAAATTCAGCGTTTACAAAATTGTGTGATTTGCAAATCCTGAGAGCTTGAAGTATGTGTATATATCTGCAAAAAACCCACCTGGCCTTCGTGGTGGACTGCGTTCCTGAAATGGTGAAGGCTTTTACCTAGTGTAAAAGTGTAGCTGTTTCTGCCTTCAGTCAGTTTTCAGTCTGCATTCAGCTGAGAACGCTGAAATGTGATTATTGGGGATGGTGTTGAAACAGTAAGACCTTCGATTTAAATTCATTTAAAAAACAGAATAGAAACAACTTAAACTTTTGTCATTTCTTCGAAATGAAAGTGCACCTCAGAAGCATTGCTTTATATTCTTTTGGTTATTACTTTTCACAGCTTTTTGGCTTTTTCTGTTAGAATGGTTTATTTTCTCATGTTTTGTTTTCTCATGTTTGTTTTTAATCCTGCATTCGGCTTATATACCGGAAGGGAGATTGTGTTCATGCGTTCCTCCGTCAAGCCAAAAATACTGAAATCTTCACCAGCATTAGTAGTACGTGTGAGCTTTGCAGGCTGGTTTCTCTGCCGCCTTGGCTTGAGCAGCCTCTTGTTTCAGCCGGAGTTAGGAGGTGGAAAGCCGGCGGCTGGGTGGCCTGGCTGGGCGGCGCTGCCGAGGCGGGCGGCAGAGCTTTGAGGCGGCT